CCCATGAGGTTTTTTCACACCTGTACCCTTCTGGTTCTCTCCCCCTTTGGAGGGGAGTGAGCGAGCAGCTGGGTGGGGGCTTACCTGCCAGCTGGGTCAATCCACCCAAGACCAAAGGACAGATGTGGCTTTTGAGATGGAAATGTGTATTAATGCTTAATTTTAGTTGAATTGGTTTGGTTACTTGCTGCGTTTCAACAAGCTTGCGTTTCGACAGTTGCATCTCTGCTGAGGTCTGAGATTGAACCACCAAGTCAGTCCTGACCAGGAATAGTCAGTAGAATGAAGTGAACTTCTGAGAGGCAAAAAGTCATCTTTCACATTCTTTATCAGGGTTTAAATGGAAAATAGTAAGGAGAGAAGTACAGAAATTCTATAAAACTAGCAAACTTATTTCTAAAGGTAATTTTTTTTGTAACACAGAAAGAGCTTTTAAGTCTTGGTGAATAATTTAACTTATTATATGGTCATTAATTTAGTAACCGACACTTACCTGAGTTTGTATTTGATTTTTTCTCCCCCTGTATCTGGAACATTGCTTAAGTAATCTAAATAACCAAATTGGAATTAGGTATAATGTTTAAAAAGTTATTTTGATCTTCAGTGTCCCTTCTCCACCAATTTGTGTGGAATTTGATAAGAAATAGAAGTAATCCATGGTGGTGTTGCTGCTGTTGCTGATCTACGGGGTGTAGAGCTTCCAATTGTAAAGTTGTGAGCTCTAACATCACTGTCAGTTTGAATGTCCCAAAAATTCAAGGGACTTAGGTGATCTGCCTTTGGCAGCTGTGGTAAAATAATAGTATCAAGTGCTTCTGGATTCTTTTACATTTCTTGTCTTCATTTGAAAGAATTTACTTTTGAAAGAAATGAGGAATGCATACACGTATTTTTATTACCTTACAGCATTGTGTATAAAGCTATATAGTCCTTCAGACTTAAGCTGAGAAGAATAAATGACAGCAGAGATAGAAAGGGAAATCGGCAATAGCAAAGGAGTATCGAGGAAATTTGTGAATTGGAAGGAAGGAAACTTCACTAACAACAGAATACAAGACAGATTGAGAAGGGGTGAGAGAGAAAGTTCTGACAACAGAATTGAAGCAAAAACAGGTTAATCAGATCTGCCAGCATTTACTAAATGAAAATGAAGTGAAGGACTGTATGCAAGTTTAAAAAATAAGGGCAGATTATTCATTCATTCTGTAAAGTCCACCTTGATTGGTCTGTACTTAACGTTAACTAGGTTAAACAAATAAATAAAAAAGAGGTCATAATACAAGTAATAATAGATGGTTAATCCCTTCTAATTGGCATATCAGTATTTTTCACAGATTCTAATCCTGAGAATGAAGACAAGAATTGGGGTAAATCGAGAAAGAATTTGGCAGATAACCAGTGGTTATACATAAACCCTTAGCAGACTCCTCACCAGTGGCCAACAGCAAGAGAGTATTTTTGTTGAACCTGATGCTGGACCAGGGATCAGGACAAGATTCACACTGATAAGCAAAGCGTCGTATTCAGTCAAATGACTGAATTACCCGCAGAATGCCCTTCAGCAGAGTAGATCTTGAAAACAGCAGACAGGAAAAAGGTAGATCTTGGAACTTGAAAACTTTACAGGCAATTGACAGTTCTCTAAACTTTGCTATGAATATTACTTTGGCCTGTTAGACATGTGGGTGAGTGCTCCATTAAGGTACAGTTTAGCCTGAGTAGGGGTGGTAATAGGTATACACAAGTCTGTTCTCTCCTTAGAAATATAAACAGAATGTACAAAACAAACAGTACGTGAGACAATTTATAAACGCTGGCTTAAATGATAAAGAGGGTAAGTACTTTAGAAGTTACTTCCATGTAACAATGCATTTGAGGACCTTCAAAAATCTTAACTCGTTAACTAATAAAAAAAGTAATAAAATTTAATATTAATACATAGTATGATCAAATTGGTAAATTAATAATCTTAACCATCCACCACTATTTTCTAGTAGTAAAATACAACTTTTTGGGGAAAAAAAAAATATTTGTTGTAACATGAACTGATTATATTTGAACAACTATACTCAATGGCTTCATTTTTTTAATAACTCACGTGCATTATAATTGTCAGTACTTACAAAAAGGTAAGTTTTTAAATTTAAATACTTTGCTTAGCTTAAGTCATCTGGTTGCAACTATTTTGAGTGTCTTTGTTCCAGTTTCTGCTTCCGAAACACTTCTGTGTCATAGTTAGAGAGTCCCTGGCTCCTCAGTAGCCATGTGTGTTTTTTGGTGTTCTCAGTTTTATCTTTTCTATAACTGAAAAGAATCTGCCTCTGAAGAACGACCTTTTTTGGTGCCTGCGTGTGAAGTGTTGGCCAGGACTGCCTTTGCCTTCTCCCTACATCCTGTACAGTCCATTGAGTGAATTGCACAGCATCTTGAGATGAAGAAGTTTCCTCCATTTCTAAAACATTATTCTTGGCTGCGCTTCTGCAATGTTTGGCAGCCATAGCTGCTTATTTTAAGGCGTTCATTAAAGAAAAAAAATTAACAGGATGAGAGACAGCTGCAGGTACTGGCAGTATACAAAATTCATAATTACTAAGAGTAACTGAAGCATATTATAGTATAATTCAACTGAAAAAACAGCTGGCACATGCTATATTTGTCATATGAGAGCTTTGCAGAATGTACTTGCTACAGCTGGCGGATTTATCACCCGTCTGCCAAAATGCTAAAAGCTCACCTTTTGTTTCCTACTCACTTAACAAAGACAATATGGAGTAGGGATTGATTTGATTATTCAGCAGTTGGGGTTACTGCTCAATTTCAATATTAAAATCTCATAATGTGTGTTTGGGGGAGGGTTAACAATCAGAATGAATCAACTGTCTAGTTCAATAACCATCACGTTTCCTTACAAGGTTAAACTTTTCTTTAAATACACGTTCAGTGTGATCTAATTATAAAAATAATTTCTTGATATACAGCTGTATATGAGCATGTAAACTCTGTGTATGGCCTGCGCTGCTAAGAATGCTAATTCCAACCTCAGTACAAGTATAGGAGACAGATTGTTTTCAGTAACTTAAGAATTTTTAATTTAGAAAGTTAATCTATTTGGATAGTCTTCTAAGATGACGTAACAATAAAGATGGTTTGTCAGAATTTAAGAATTTCCTTATTTTCAAAGCCTTTTTTACTAGCGTAGTTGAATATAAGCAGTCTACACATTGTAAGGAGTAGCGTTTGAATAGTTTTCTAGGGAGTTTACTTTGAAAAGGTATGTATGAAAAGATACGACAGGAGTTGTATAAAAATTTTGGTTTGCCAATAAAACAGTTTGTAAAACCTGAACTTTGAAAAAACAGCTGTTCATCAGGGCTCCCATATTGAAAATGCTTCATCTTGATGCTTGGTATTGATTACAGAGGACAAATTGCAATAATAGTGTTAAGTATTAACGTGCTATCTTGATCCTGCAATTTTAATCCGTCTTTAATTCTTATTTTATATAAAAATGTTCACATATGGTAACACGGGTATAATCTATGTATAATTTTAACTGTTTTAACAGCGTTTCAATATCTGCCTACGTACTCTCATATTTTAGCAGCTAGTCAAAAGATGTTGAACTGTTTTTACGATATCTACCTGGGATTGGTTAAAGGCGTTGGTTGAGAACAAGGGAGTGGAAACTCCCAGCCAGGTACACTCACAACCTTGTATTAACAGATACATTGCAACCTTGCATTTCAAGTGCCATACAGTGGTTTTCCGTCAAACTTTTATGAAACACTACGTTTAAGAGGTTTTTATGAGTGAATTACTGTTGAGAACTAAATGCCATCATTAAAATAGCAAGAGCTTTTTCAGATGAAGATCTGAGGTTGAAGTATTTCCTACCTTGCCTCCATTCCCCCAGAAAGAATAAAGGCTTTAGCTTCCGTTGCAGTGCCTGTAGTTTCAGTAATAGGCAGAGCACCTAAAGGTTAGGTATCGGCTTTCTGAGCATTGTCAAAGTGCTATGTGTTCATGAAGGTGATGCCACTTCAGTGTACTTTCAAGTTGGGAAAGGAAGGTAAATTGAGAATAGATTTGAAAATTCTTCTTCACAAACAGGTTTGAACCTCAACGCAGGCGGTGAAACTGGTGCCAAGAATCTTGATCGCACCATTTTTTGTGATGGCTGTTGCTAGTGGAGTAGAGACTGGTCAAAGGTTAGAGCAGCTCATTTAGTTTTGCATCTTCCTCTGGCTAAAAGTACCAAAGTTCAGAGATTTTTCCATCGCTGGTCATCCCTCTTCTTCAGTGGCTTGTGATGACAGGAGGCAAGAAGGTTTCCTTTGAGCACCAACTGAAAGATGTCTGCCATAACCCAGATATTTTTTCTCTTCAATACTACACAAATTCAGGATCGCTAAAACTCATTCAGTATAAAAGTAAAAAGACCACTTTGAAGGAGGTGGTGTTTTCCTTTTCCTCATGAAGCGTTAACATTGTTGTCTGTCTCACAAGTATAGAATGATTTGGTTTTAGGTACTTCAGAGCACCTTCAAAAATGTCCACACTGAAGTCTGGTTATGCGACACTAATTAGAATGTTAATCTGAATATTGAATGTACTGTGCAAATGCAGCTTATATTTATAGCATATTTGATAATGTGCCTGCAAAATAAGATTCAATAAACAAAAAAAACCCTGTAAAATGTCAAAGGACTTGACAAAGTCCTGCTGATTTGAACAACTACATCTACCATTACAGTTTTGAATACACATCATGAAGAAGTGCTAGCTGTGTGGTGCTTTTGAAATCAATGTTTTAAGAGCAACGCTGTAATTAAAAATACACCATAAGCTCCTATAATGCAGGAAAATACCTGTGAAATTATATTCTGATAACTGATGCCCACCATAAGCTCCTATAATGCAGGAAAATACCTGTGAAATTAATATTCCGATAACTGATGCTCTGCTGTATGTTAATTGGCATCTTTTCTTCTGATTAACAGAAGTGAGCTGAGTCAACAAAAACTTCGTAGCCAGGAGCTCGTATCTCAGCTGGAAACAGCAAATGAAAAGATAACTGAGGTAAGATCATGACTGATACGACAACTGCTTTCGCTTACAGAACAGCAAATGAAAAGATAACTGAGGTAAGATCATGACTGATTCGACAACTGCTTTCACTTACAACCTGACACAATGCACACCAGGATCTTAGGAGAAACCCATGTAGATGAGGTATGTTGCTGGTTTAAAAAAAATTAAGGATTTTTGACAGGAGTAGTCATAGCTGGAAAACCTCACTGTTTCTGCTGACTGACATGTTCAAATGGCAGGAAGACAAATGAACTTTACTCTCAAATTACAAGGAAAGGTAAAGGAGAGACCATCTTTCAAGGTTACTAAGCTGGCAATTTTAGGCAATTCAGGAAACGTTTCTGAAGTCGCTTACGCCTGCGGATGCATGCATACTTCTGAAAAGGAGTAGGCATTGTGTTACGGATAACGTAGCATATGCAGAGATATCAAATTCTCAGCATACTATGTGTATACTAGAATTTACAGCGTATGTGCATATATGCATATGGATAAAAGCATTATCCATTAAAGATTAAGGGCAGGGTTGTTTTGGAATGTGCATTGTTCAATAATTAATGGCCACTTTAGAAAACAGCTATCCTGTCAGCCTCATAAATATGGGATAATATCCAATTCTATCTAGGATAAGTCCTTCTGTGCTGTATTATTTAGCGGAGAAGAATGGGGCTGATGGAGAATAGATTTCTGTAAGTAAAGGATGGTTAAGAAAGACTTTATACATACCCTTTGATGAAGAGAACAGAAGAAATCTATAGCAAGATTATCATCTCATTTGTATTATCTAGTATAGTCTTTCTCCCTTTGAGCATAGCTAAAACATTTACATTGTAAGATTGTGTAAATTAAATTACTTGGATTAAAATGTCAGCTTTTATGCATCTTACTTCAAGATGGTGAAATGAGTAAAACTTCCTCTGCAGATTACTCTGATTGGAAAAGTCCTATGATGTCATATTTGAGCTGGAAATTCTCTGTAATGTGTCAGCAGTATGTCTTCAGTCTTATTGTAAGTGGTAAACAGTTCCGCTTCTTAAGTTCTCTTGTTTTAAGCTTTTTCACTACAGTATGTATGGATCCAGTAAAAAGAACTTTGCATTTCTAATGAGGTATTTCCTTTACACAGGATGAAAAATTAATGATGGAATATCGAGAATACATCAATAGGCTTCAAAGGCGACTGAGCCAGGCAGAACAGAGGGCAGCTACAGCATCTCAAAAGGTACGGAACTAACAAAAACCACGCTATCTAAGTGCATTAAAAAAATCCCATTGAATATTACAAAAATACTCACTTTGCATCATTCCTGAGGCAGAGGCGATCACTTACGTGCATTATTACTAATACAATTTTAACAACGAGCTTGTGTTGTGGATGCATCATCACAAAACTGATGCATATTCAATTAAATGCTACCTTCTGACAGGATGCTTACGTGACAGTACAGGTTTGTTCATGGAAACAAATTTGATGCGAATTAAACTTGTGTGGTTCACAATGTGTGAATGAAGGTGTATGATCATTTCCACCTTCAGAAATGGCAGCAAGTTAACAAAGAGAAAAAAAACCTCCTTAAATAACCGCAGGCCCTGTTTACATAAAGCAGTCTTTTTTAGCTTGGCGTAACTTACCGCAGCAGTCACAAACGATGGCTTCAAATGATAAAGAGCAAATGTTGTGCTGATTCCTGCACCTGGGGAGTCCGATTTCAAACGAAGCATGTCTTGAGTCGATGGCTGGAGTGGAGAACTGCCTTTATAAAAATTGCTAGGCAGCGTAGCTGTTCTGTGGGAATTCTGTTTGTGGGTTTTTTCAGCCAAGTAAATTTCCTGGTGTAATTCATTGTGTGGCTGCACAAAGAGCGTGGGGAAATGGTGTGCAGTGGTTGCAGGACAGAACTGATAGCGTGGACCTGCCTGCTTCGTGTTCATCGAATTGCAACCTTGAGTACCTTCTGCCAGGTCGGGGGAACTCCCAAAGCTGTTAACTTCTGGTCTGTCCACCTGCATTTGCATTAGTGGCCTCCAGTAGCTGTGTCCCCAGAGATTGTTGGAGAAATACACCCCGCTGCAGTTAGCAGCAGTTGGGGATAACAGACGCAGTAAGTCCTCTAACATCAAAAATTGTGCAGATGGAACAGGAAATTCTTGGGTTTTTCCAGGCCATGGGAAGGGTGGAAGGAAGGGATGGTGTATGTGTCTCGCTACCACAGTAAACTTTCCTAGGATGTGTTTCAGTGATCTGACAACTTCAGGCAAGGTGTTTCTGTTAGAGCCGTTTGTATGCCTAAGACCTCCTTGCGCACCATCGTGATCACTTAGTGAGCTGAATTGTTGCTGCCTTCTTTTTCCAGTTCTCTTACAACTCTGTTCCAACTTTGAGCAGTACTATTGAATATTTCTAGACCTTAGGGGTATTGGGAGGAAAGGTTTTCTTCTCTTCAGAGAAGAGCTTTGGGCTTTAATTGTCTAAGCCCCGTGCTACCTGTAATTCTGTGTTTTCTCTGCTGGACAGTAGGTGGGTTTTTTCCCATCCGGCTTTCTTTTTTCCATACTATTCAAGCTATACATCTTGAAGCAACTTCCCCGGGGGGTTTACGCACTGGGTTCATTTATTTGCCGAGCCAAGTTGTTACTCAGGTTGGTCTCCTATTACGTAAAGGTGGTCTTTCTGCCTCCTAATTTTTTACGGTGATTTAGGAAACCCATTTGCAAATTAGAGCTTTTTAATGTGGGTGATCCCATGTGAGTTGCAGAGAGGAAATGTTTGGATGATCTAAATCGTCCAATTAGGACAAAGGGCATTTTTTTTCCCAACAGCAGTGAATAAATGGGCATAGCTACCAAGCTGTCATAACATAAGCTGTGTTTCCTGGCTGTAAATGCTCTCTGTCATGACAAGGTCTGCCCAGCTGCTGAAGATTTGCTCTGAAAGAGTGATTTTTTTTTTTTTTTTTTTTGTTTTTAACCCTCCAGTTTCTTACATGGATCTGTTCAGCTCTAATACTTCTGAGGTGCTATCTTCCCTTAAAAAACATGGTCACATCACCTTTCAGGGGAGTAAATTCCTGGCTTCAGTGCCCATATAGGAAGAGGTCTTGCTGTTCCTGCAGACATCGATAATTAACTGTTCCTCACCAGTCTCCTGCTAAAGGCTGGAAAAACCGGTCTCCAGGAGTGCTGCTACAAGAATGTCCGCTCTTCTGAATCTGAAGAAACAAGGTGTTTGTTCTCTTCTAGCTCTCAGAAGACTGAATGTTCATGTGTGTGCTTCCTCAGATTCAGAACGGTAACTCTTCTTCATATTCTGAGTCTGTAGGTTGAGGGCTACTTTCTGACTTAACTGTGTATTCTCATTACGTTATCCAGTTTACTTGTAAAATTAAATCCAGTATAGGCTAGAGCTGGACTATTAGGGAGTCTAGAAATTACATTTTTATTGTGGTTAGGTCAGCGACTATAAATCTTAGCTTACTATTAAATAATAGTAATTCAGTAAGAAACAAAAAAAATACAGGATAACGTTTGCACAGATTTAAAATGTGTGTATTCTATGTAGGTGTCTTTAAAGCGTACTCCTGCTACCTAATCTTTCATGATCTTGAATTGGTTGGGATCTGAAATTAGACAAAAGCAGGAGTCATCTGTAGAGTGCATTGTAAATTCTCCTGTTTACCCCAAATTCCCACTTGGGAATTTGCTTGCTCCCTCTCCTTCATGACACCTTGCATATCGAAGTTCTACTGATGCTTTCATCTTACAAAAAATTATGTAAGAAACTATCATCTGCTTGGTTTTAATTACAGCTCAGCCTGATAACTACACAGAAGAAAAGAGCTGCTTCCCTGAAGGATCTGGAAAATATTTAAACACATGTATTGTTCATTCACACCATGTTGGAGTTAAGAAGATTGCTGGAGAAACTTCATATTGGAGCGTTAAAGTCAAATGCATAGCAAGGCTTGTAAAACTTAGATAAACATGTTCTGTTTTATTCAGGTAAGAAAGGGGGTGGGTGAAGATACTGTATCTGTATGCACAGTAAAGATTGGAAGAAGACTGCAAAATGATGTAATTAAAGTCCTTTAATGTAGCAGATGAAACAGTCTGATACAGTGCTGTGGCATATTGGTCTTTTTTGGTCTAAGAAACACCAGCTCCAACTATGACAAGATTGTGTACAGGGAAGAGATAACGTTATATTGAAATTCATGAACAGCTTTGCTCACGTACGCTCGATACCTTTAATTTTTCTTTGTAGTGCAGTACCTTGGGAACATTTTGAAGATCTTTTATGAATTGTAGTAAGACTCAACTCCATCATGCATGTCAAATAGGTGCTGGTTTTGCGGTAGGTGATGTAGCTGTGAAATGCCTCCATTGCCTTCCAGTTTTAAGAATTCAGTTCAGTTTGTTCTGATGCCCCTGGGAAAGAGTTAATAAATAAAATGCTGGTCTGGCTATTCATACAGCTCGTTTCTAAGGACCGTAGTCTTCTTCAGTTGTGCTTTTTCTTCCTAATTACTATTTTACAGTTGTTCCTTGCTCTTCTGTTGATCTGCTCTCTTGGTTTGTATGTGTCTGGGAACTTCAGTTCTCTGTTACTTCAATTTACCCAAAGCCAGTGAAGTCACCCAGTCATCCAGCTTTTAAGCATTCTGAAATAGCGTGTTTGAATTCTACAGATCCCGGTACGCGGGAATCCTCTTGTGTACATGTTTTTCTTTGGTAGTTGACAAACTTCATGTATCTCATTCTAAAATTAGAGCTGAACTCTGTTCTCTCTTTCAGCATGTATTATAAACATTTGATAGGTGTTAAGCGATTATGAAGTGCTCCCATCTTGGACTTAAGTGACGTAATTTCTTGTGCTTCCTCTTAAATGTGAAGAGTATAACTCTGGTTTCTAACTTCTAACTCAGTTGAATGGCTAATGCTTACGCAGTGCTCGATGAGAACTGTTGGTGTGGACTAACCAACCCATACGGCTGCCGGGGTGGCTCTTCACCGTATTTGCATTTTAGCGGACAGAGCTGGGTCAATCACTGGAAGTAAGCGTTTGTGTCACCTCCTGAAAACCTGGCTGTTCAACTAGAGCCTGCAAGATGGATGCAAACTCAAGAAAAGTTTCTGCTTACCGCAGAGGAAGTTACTAGTTCCTACAGGCGTACACACTTCTTTACTGGTGCTTTCTCAATGTGATACACACCCGTATCCATTGCAATCTCTAATTTTGCTAAAAGACTACAAAGATTTTTTCAAAGCAACGTGGATACATTGTCCAGAAGCTCCGAACGTCTGTTGCAGTGAGATTTTCATCAGTCAACTGTGTACATGATGCAGAAGGAGGTAAGTACCGAGCACCTTATTTTCATTTGCATAACACACGACAGACCACCTGGAAGAGTCTGTGTGAGCTGTTAATCCTATTCACTCCACAAAGCGAGGCTCTGGCTGTGAAGTGAAATCTGGCTGAACGTGGCAGGTAATTGTACAGGTTTGAGCCACAGTATTTGTGTATTTGTTCCTTGAGGCACAGAAGGGCACCTGCTTGGTTCCCTTTTAATTACGGGTATATCCATTGCAACTTGTGGTGCAGCTCTTGCGTGATGGTTATTTGCCAGAATATGAATTGCAGCGACAACACAAGCACCTAACAGTAAAGTTAAGGGGCAGCAATTATGGCAGATGACGCAGGAAAGAAAAAGATTTCCCGCTTTCGTCTGTCTGCCTAATCCTCTGAGCAGCTCGAAGTTGACCAAATAGATCTGCCTGAACCACACAAGGGCACGTGGTCAAGGTAAGCTCATCATCCCAACACCGCCTCCTTTCACTTCCGTTTGGCTTCTAGAGGCGGCTGCTCACGAACGGGACTTTCCGAGGAAAGGCACTTGCTGTGGCAGTGAGCATGTGAGGCTTGCTGGTGAGAGGAGCGTTGCTCTGTCCCTTATGATACTGGATTGTTTCATGGAATTGAGCAGCAGGCTTTCCAACCATCTGTCTTGGGCGTTCTATATTTGTTTCCTTCTATGTATTTCTTGTCACTCTTCCATTGAGAAGTTTGTTTTCCCTACCTTCCCACCCCACCACCAGTTTTTGAGTGTTTTAAAGATTCCTTAGTGTGATATTAATGCTTCCCGTTGTGTAAAAGTTTGTTCTTGACTATGTTTATTTAGGAAAAGTGTCTGGGTGAATAGTTACTTCCATTCAACAGGTCAGAGCAACTGACTAGGAAGGGAGTACAAGATTCATTTTGGGTCTTCCCAAGAGCCCTGTACTTTCTGGCATAGGCCAGATCTTGAAAGATCTATCGCTGCATACAAGAAATTGTTTTCAGTCTGTTTAAGTGGTTAGCAAGCTGCCCTCAGCTCTGACCCGGCCTTACTCAGGTAACCCCAGCGGTACAGCGCCCGTCAGAAAGGCTGCTGTCGGCAAGATCTGTAAAGCAGCTGCAAGAACCTCTTTCAGATTTTTATTCATGCCTTGAAGAGCCTGTAGTAGTAACTCTGAGGAGGGCCAGCCTTTCATCTTCATTCCTCAAAATACATTTTTGAGGGCTGCCACTCACAGCTGCCCACCGTGTGAATGCATCTGATACAAGTACAGATCTGAGAAAAATGATTTACCCAGAGCTGGTTTTCCAGATGTATTTGCTAGACATACGCCTTCACAGCCTTGTCCTTTTCCTCTGCTCCAAGTCCGTTCCATGTTTCCGCATCTTGAGTTTAGAGGAAGCAAGAGGAAAGGACCTGCGGTGCCCTTCACGCCTTGTCTCCTTGAGATCCTGCTAGAGCAGCAGACGCTCTCTGTCAGCATTGCTTGACTATAGACGGTTCATAGTGCGAATGTACATTCAGCATCCTTATCTTGAAGATCTACAGGTAAGAAACCTCACGTTCCTCTTCCCGCGGAACACATATGAAGATTATGGACTTTAGAAGGACATCGTATCTCAACAAATGTAAACTGTTTGAGGTAAGCAACATCTCTGAGCATCTCAAGGAAAAAAGCATACGCTTTTCTGTTGCTGGGATAGGCACAGCTGTCAGTTACAAGACCCTATACTCTTCCTCAAAAAAGAATCTTTCTCTTGCAACCACAGTATGCATTTTGATACCTGTAGTAATCCAAATTAAATGCTCATTTTAACCAGGAAGGTTGTTCAGATCATTGCAGTGAAGTGTTTACATAAAAACCCAAAGTAACTGCTGCAAATTCTACAACACTGCTGGCAAGGATACTGCAAAAATGTACAGCATTTATTCACATACAGACAAAAAGGCACAATTCTACTGAATATTTTAACAAAAAATACAGCTGTCTTCAACTAGGTCTTTATAAATACTTCAAAAAAGGGAGAAAATAAATACAGGATTGGGCCATGTAATATAAAATAGTCATCTCTACATATACTTTTTATTTCTATCTGTTTCTCTTCATGCACCTTTTTTAATTAATTTCAGCTGAATGGACACCAAAGCTAGGCACATAGTGAAAAATCTTCTGTACAAGGTTTTACAAATGTAATGACAATTTTCTCAAATTTCTGAAATTAAGATTTATACACAACACGTATAACCCTTCATTTAGATTTGTGTGAGTTTATAACCTAACAAATGGCATTCCAGGCAACTTTACAGAAGTTCAACTAGCCTACACTTCGACAGAATACACCGATCATAATCAAAGATCTCTTGGTCAGTCTGCACAAGGAAAGGTAACGCTTAAAAACAGAAATTCAGCAAATGGTTCTATCCCAGTAAGATACAGGGCTGGGTTTGTATTGTCACTGCTGTACTTACGACACCTCTTCTGCTGAGCGCTAAGCACGGGAGACAAAACTAACCTACAGAGCTGGTCACACTGCGGTCATCTTGGAGCTTTTTTGGTTTTGGTTCAGCTTAACTTGAAACGTGAGAAAGCTTATTAACCTAAACGTGGGGGGGCAAAACAGATAAGGCATTAATTCTGCACAACGTTAGCGTTCATAATAGTGCAAATTACTAAGGTACCTCTCCCAAACCGGGGTGAGGTTAAATGTTTACTCAGAATCAGAATTTAGATTATTCCAGCTATGGCTTGCAAACGGTTCTCTCTGTGGTCATGAGCTGCTTTTGTACAGAAAAGCACAGTGCCTGTCTGGAAAGCGCTGCTGTACGTCGAGTAGAACCTACCTGCATTTCCCTTTTGTCTTGTCTGTTGCTGTTTGATCACAGAAGTACTTCTCTTTTAATGCATCCCAAGAGTGACTGCGCAATTTCAGATTCACCAGTGCCCTGTTTCACCTTCACCTCTCTAAGCCAGGAGGTTAATCTTAACTTCTTGGGACCAGCAACGGTATTTTAAAAGTACACTATCTTACACAAAATTCCCCTTCCTCAACATCAAAAGGTAGCAAAAGGTTAAGACTTCTGAGTTTTACAACAAATGATAGGGACGCATTCTGTCGAAATATTTGAGTGATAACTTGCATAGCAAGAAAGGGTGTTAATAAGCCTTTT